TCTTCAGCCACGCCAGTCATCTTCCCCACCAGTTTGTCTTACAACACATGTGGACAGCCTGCTCCTGTGCCCCTAAGAGTATCTTTCTGAAAAGAGTCCAGCCTTCCTGGGCCCCTTTGCCCTTCCCAGAGCCTTCTTTTCTCCAGGCTGAACTACCCCAACTCTCTCAGCCTGGCCTCATAGGAGAGGGGTTCCAACCCTCGGATCATCTTCATGACCCTCCAATTTCACTGCCATTTCCCCCTAAAGTGGAGGTGCAGAGCCTGGTGGGACCCAGGCTGGAGTTCCTGACCGTGGGGTGCAGCCCCCAGGACTGGGTGGGAGGGTTCTGGGTGGGAGGTGGAGTGGGGCAACGGGGGAGGTCCCCACTCTGCAGCTCCCCTTTCCCCTCCTTTGTGCAGGAAGCAAACCTGGAGAAGGTCCACCTTGCTCTCAAGGCCAACTGCCCCCCGAGCGAGCTGGAGGCGCAGGGTGCCCAGCTGCTGGACGATGCCATCGCCGACTGCAGGTACCCCCTGCTGCCAGCCTGGGGACCTGGGCAGGGCTGCCTCTGAGCAGGGCTGCCCAGCTGCCAGCAGAGGTGGCTGAGCCATGGCACGGGGTTGAGGAGGTGACATTCAAGGCAAGGCATGAGTTTCCAGCCTCCGTGCCTCCTTTGCTCCAGGCTCAGCACCCCCAGCTCCCTCAGCTGCTCCTCCCCACACTCGGGCTCTAGACCCTTCCCCAGCAGCTCCGTTGCCCTTCTCTGCCCACGCTCCAGCCCCTCCAGGTCCTGCTGGGAGGGAGGGGCCCAAACCTGCCCCCAGGATTGGAGGTTTGGCCTCCCCAGTGCCCAGCCCAGGGGTCGATCCCTGCCCTGCTCCTGCTGCCCACCCCAGTGCTGGCCCAAGCCAGGATGCTGGTGGCCTCCTTGGCCCCTGTGCCCACGCTGGCTCCTCCCCAGCCGGCTGTGCCCAACCCCCCAGGGCCTTTCTCTGGGGCACTTTCCAGCTGCTCTGCCTCAAATTCTCTTCAGGAGAAACAAAAGAGCTCAATTTCACCACCCCCATTTCTTTGAGTTCCTGCAGAAGGCAGAATTTCAGTTTGGAAATCTGGCCAGAGCAAGTTCTCAACCTGGGACAACCTGTCCTTCCACTGTCCCAGGTGGGCACCACGCTGTGCCTCCATCCATGGCACAGCTCAAGGAGACAAGAGAGGTCATCCTGACTTTTCATGCCATGAAAATGGGGTTCACTGAGCCCAGTCCCAGCTCGAGGTGGGGACGCTGTGGTTGGTGAAGGGCTGCAGGCTGGGAGCAAGAACATCTTTAGCAGCAGCACCATAAATCACCACCTTTTACAGGAAAAACTCGAAGTGTTTCAGCACAGGGATGATCCCCTTGGACTCCTGAGACATTTATCCAGCAGCTCGAACCAATTTCTATTCCAATGTGTGTGTAGGTGTGCATGGCTCAGCCCAGGTCCCAGCCTGGCTGCCCTGGGGGATACGTGGGGGCCACAGGGGGGGTTTGAAGCTCCTCTGCTCTTGGCATTGCCACGTTCCTCGAATTTACCTTCAGTGGCTCCTTAATTCTTTGCAAACTGGCTGAAAAAGAGGCAAAAAATATTAAAACAAGACATCAAACCCCCTGAGAAGGTGAGTGAGCTGCTGCCACTTGATCTCTTCCCCCCCCTGCAGCCTGGCCCTGCCTGATGTGCTGGGGAGGGCGACCAGCACCCACCTGGACCAGAGCCTGTTCCGCTGCCGCAGCGCCAGCCTGGAGCAGATGGCCAAGGCTGCCCTGAAGCTCAAGCACGAGGACTGGAGCCTGGCAGAGGCCCTGGAGCAGGCAGAGGACTGGCTGGCCAGGCTGAAGGCCATGGCAGAGGAGGTGATGCCTCGGGGGGGCTCCTGCTTCCCCGTCTCGCCGTCGCGGTGCCCACCTGGTGCCGGTGGGGAGTGGAGATGCTGCTGCTGCTGCTCTGCTCCCCCCGGGCAAGGGTTGTCCCCATGGGCCCCACAGCGACCTGACCTGAGCTGGGGAGGTGCAGGTTTGGCAGCCTGGATGCTGAGGTTTAGCTTTGTTCATGGTGGAGATTTACAGCATGGGCAGTAAATGCAGAACCCCAGAACCCAGCGTGGTGGG